TTATTACCTAACTTAATTAGTAACTATTAGAAAAGTAAAAAATTTTTAATATATATATTTTTATCTTTTTCAAAAAAAAAAAAAAAATTTTTGTTTTTTTCCTTGCAATAATTACCTTATATACGAAATAAATATTAATCCTCATTATGAATGCATATATTGACACATAAATAACGAACATAAAAAAAAATTTTTCAAAAAAAAAAAAATATTATAAACAATCTAATCTACTACATTTCACTGTTACATACAAAATAGAACTAAGTAAAAAAAAAAAAATATATAATGATAATTTTTCTTATTGAACATAGACACAGTAATTATACTAATAACCATACGTATTGATAAGTCGAATTACATGTTTATCTAAAAAGAAATTTACTGTAAGTAATTTATTCACGTGTGATAAATATTATAAAAGATTAATGACAACACATTTATATGTATATATCTATGTATTTACATTGAAATATTAATTTTAACTAAAAAAAAAAAATAAATATATGTAATTTTATTAATATATAGAAAATGTAATTATTCTTTATATAAAATTAAGGAACAAGCATGATCATACAAATTTCAATCATATTCTCAACATTAATCATTACTACTAATGCGATCATTGCCTATGATTGTTCTACTAATAATATAAACATAACAGCATTCAACAGTCTTTCAGTAGATGATTGTGAAAAACCAATTCCGACAAAAACTCAATTAATCAAAAGAATTAAATTACTGCAAAGGGCTGAAATACATAATATACATTATAGATCATGTCTTATTTCAGTGGATTACTTAATTCTTAAATGTTCCACATTTGGAGATTTACAGGGTCTTCCTGATGGGTATTATTCTGAGATATTAGAAATAGGTAGTGCACGATGTGACCAAATGCATAAAAAATTAATATTCCAATTTCCATCGGGAGGGATTGTACATAATCTTAAAATTAATCATACTACACAAACACCTCATTTAGTAGCTGGGTCAATAGATCATAAAGGTAATTGCGAAGGAGCTAAATTTATAACAGCTAGAGGAACATGGGACAAAGCTGTAGTACAAACAAAATATAAAATTACATTAACCGATGGTTTCGCAATTGCTAATTTTAAAGAAAACTATTTAATTTTACCTAGTGGTACTAAATTATCTCTATCTGAATCGTACGGATTTGATTCTTTTAAAGGGGAAGTCATATGGGATCTCATTTCGCATAATTGTGATTTTGAGTATGACGTATTATATGATGGACCAGCATCCATGATATTTTCAAAAAATTCTGCAGAAAGTTCTACTGAAACTCAAACTTTCTTAGTTGAAACTGAAGGAATAGCGTTTGCTTTAAAATTGATTAAAAATACATTTATTTGTGATCTTTCAGTTATACAAACAGAACATCCCCAACTTTATATATTAATCAATGAAAATTATATTGATCAAATAAAAAAAAAAACCAATATCCACTCATAATATAGATTTACTTGCGTATGTAAATACCAAATTTGTATGGGTCGAACATCACATTTCTAGAACATTGTCTGAATTATACATAGACATCACTTTAAAACAATGTATGCTTGAAAGAAAAATTTTAATTCAAAAATTATCTTTAGCTTCTTATAGTATTTCTGAATTCGCTTATGCTATGTGCGAAAGTCATGGATGCATGGCAATACAAAGTGGTGAAATTATATATCTCATGAAATGTAAACCAGTACAAGTAGAATTAGCAAAAAAAGAAACTTGCTTTCATGAATTACCCGTAATATTTCACAATGTTTCATACTTTATGACACCAAAATCTCATATTTTGCAAAAATTTGGTACTGAAATAACATGTAATAATCTTTTACCTTCAGCTTATTTTTTAGATGGGGATTGGTTTGGATTAACTCCTCACCTAATCGACATTAAAAGTCCCCAAAATTTAAGGCCAGAAATCAAATTCACCTGGACTTACAAATCACCTGAGCATCTTATGTCTGCTGGTATATACAATAGAGATACCATGCAAGCATTACAAAGACATTTAATGTTCCCTCAGGAAATAAATGCAATTCAAAATAACATAATTCGTCAAACATTAGGATATGAAATGAGTGGACAACAGTTAAACCTACACCATCTAATAGATCCAAACGTATTAAGTAATATGNTAATAGATCCAAATGTATTAAGTAATATGATAGAAAATAAATTATATCAGATGTGGGGGTGGTTCACCTACTTTGGTTCATTTATGTCAGGTTTATTAGGAATTGTTTTTATATTTAAAATAATATCAATAATCATTAATGCATGTATGAACACAACCTTATTATATAATACATTTGGTTGGAGTGCAAAATTAATGGCAGGTATATTTAATAATATTACTCATTATTTCATGCACAAACATCATCAACAAAAACAAAAATCAAAATTAGACTTAACAAAAATTAATTTATCAGATAAAAATGATACACCAATAAAAGTTAAATCTTTTATTTATCCAGATTTACAGCTCACCAATAATTAAAAATGTCAGATGACGAATTCAACATTCCAATATACCAATACAAATATCCATGGTACTTCAATAAACCGATAATAACGCAGTATGACTCAAACAAAACATATGATTCTAACAAGTACTATATATGGCAATATGGAAGTACTATTTATCTATTTCCAAAAAAAATCAAAAATCGAAAATATATTAACAAAAAGAAAAAAATTATAGTGAAACACATTATAAAAAAAAAAACAAAATGAATAATATAACTATTATATAACCTAATATATTATATTTTATATATATCATATATATATTAAAAATATTATAAATTATTTATGCAATATCACATATTATATTATACATAATAATAATTATAACATAAATTAAGAAAAACAAATCTTTTCAATAAATTTAACAAATATGCAAAATTAAAGTGTACTCATTTTTTTCAGTGAAAAACATTTATTTTTTTCTCAAACATTAAATTAAATAAAATAAATGAGTTTAAGAAAAATTCAATTAAGTTATCCACCTACATTACCATCTCACTCATTATCAACATTCAAAATTCCAACAATATCAAAAATAAAAATACGAGCCAATGGAAAAAATTTAACAATAATATTGAAATCACGTACAAAATCATCATCTAAAAAAATAAAATACTATGAACTGTACATATGCAAACAGATTAATCAAATGGCAACAGAAAAAATGTGGAAGAAATTAGCACAACTGCGAGCAGAACAATCACCTATGGGCATAGACCTTCTAATGTATGAATCTAACTGTATGTATTATTTTGCAATCAAAGCTATTGATGAACACGGAAGAAGTTCGCCTTATGAACAAGCTCAAGTTTACATAAGAGATTAAAAACAATTTTTATTTTTTTCACAAACATAACTTATATATACATTATTATTATATTATACTGTATACTTAATTACTATCAATATTTAATTATTAATTTTTATATATATTACATAAATTTTAATGTGATTTTATGTTGTGAGGTCACAACATTTAAAAAAAATTAGGGTAGATGTTGTAATAATAGTATTAACGTGACAAAAATTATGTTATCATATTATTACTTATATTATTTGTGTATTTAAAGAAAATATTGTAAACTTTGATCATAATTAAATTATATGTCAATAAAAATATCTGGAAACACTAATGATGTTGATCCCTAATTGAATTAAAAGAAAAGTATAAAAGACGGGTTAACGTGGCATAAAAAACACACTTGCACTTAGAATCTCTGAATGTCAGTTAGTTCATCAACATCATCAGTGTGAAAAGATACATAAAAAATAAAAAAAAAAGGAAAGAATATTTATTCAAAGGTAAGCAAAAATGCTGAATATAAAATTTTAATATAAATAATAAAGTAAATAAGTACTTTTGGTAAAACTGAATCTATATAGAGCAGATTTCGTTTGAGCTGTTATTTTACGGTTGGCGATTGCTCTCGATTCAAGGCAAAAAATTAAGCTAAGTACTTATGATAGAATAGAATCCATATAGAGCAGATTTCGTTTGAGCTGTTATTTTACGGTTGGCGATTGCTCTGGATTTTTTAGTAAAATTAATATATATATGAATAGTAATATTCCTTTTTCTTTGAAATTATATTAATAAAAAAGAAAACCCTCGGAGCACTGACCCCGATATAAAAAGTAACTCAAAAAAAAAATAATTATAAGGAATTAAGTTTAAGACCAAAAGAGTCTCAATTGATTCAAAATCTGCTCAAGCAACGCATTCATACATAATATTATATATTATATACTATTATTGTTCCTTTAATCTAATTATTTTATTTTAAATTCCTTCATTCTCTTTTTTTGAGTTACAACACATTTTTAACTTTATAAAGCTATAACTTATTGAAAAGTGTTTTGATCAATGTAATTTTTTTATGGGAAATACTATTTTTTAATAATTCCTTTTTCATTCGACATACTTTATCTTAATCAGGATATTAATAAGGAACTAGCAGTTTATGAAGCTTTTGGAATAATCCACCAATTTTTTAAAATTAAACACTATCTAAAGATTTGCGTCGAAGCGTTTTTTTTTGAGAGTGATTTTAATCACTGTCAGATATCATCTATACTGGACCCAACTATGCCACGACCCCACTGTGCTGCCACCCCACTGTGCTGGGTTTTTTTATCTGTTGCGTCGTTGTAATAGAAAACGCGCAATAAGAAATTTACACGGCCCGCGATATTATGCGAAGGTTATTATTATTGTGTTCAACTATTCGGTTTGTTTTATTTTTTGTTAAAATAACCTGTTGTCGCTCATTTAATACGGCCCTCGGGTCTCTACCCTCAAAACCAGTGTCGACCACATTTTTGCGACGTAAGTCGTGTCAAAATGTATGATATAATAAACACTACACAAATGATACATATATTGTTTAATAATAGGATAGTATAATTGCTAATATTTTATAAATATATTTATGTATGTATTTTGAAAGCATGTGGTGTCCAAGGAGAAGACCAAAATGAAGGACGTAAGTTAAAACTTATATAACTTTATATTTCTATACGGAAACTATTGTTATTTTTGGCTAAATGAGTCATTATTAATGACATTAATGACTGTAAGGTATAATTTTTTAGTTTTTAGCAATCAATAAAATATTAAATGGTGATGATGCTTTAGCACAACTATTATTCACCCATAACTAACTTCGTATATTATTTTACTTGTGTCTTTTATTTTATATTATTCTATATTTTACTTTTTCGATCAAAAGTTATACGCAATGATATGTTTTTAGAAAAAGAAATGTAGTAAATAGAAGTAGAACAGTGTGGTTTAATACTTAAAAAATATTTCGGAATATGAATTTCATAGTATTTTTTTCATAAAACTATTATATTTGTCAATGACTAATATTCATGTTTCTTAGAGAAAAGTAATTAAGAACCATGTAAGCCAGCAATGTCTATCGTAGATATTTCTTTAAAAAAATTTGTTCTTGAAACATTTCTCCCTTGTATTATGACTTAGTTAGTTTTATATTTTGTTATACACAACATACAATTTGAAACGTATGATATAATAGAAAATGGTCTTATTAAATTAATTATTTAAAATTATGTATTTTCAAATCGTATGGTATTCAAGGCAAAGACAAAAATACACATGGTAAGTTAGAACTTAATAAACTTTTTATTTTATTAAAAATGATTTTGGAATTTAATGAAAATTTGTTATATAGAATCCAAGTAAATTTTTTGTCTGATTGAGACTTTGCGTAGTTAAGTCATCAAAGTGTTACTAAAACGATTTTTTCTACTTTGTATTTAGTATAAAAAAATTTGTTATTGTTTCAAATAAATTATTATATTTTTTTAGAGAGATGCTCTGTCTGTTACGTAAATAATCCGAATACACCTATAGGAGAATGTGAACATAAATTTTGCATAAATTGTATAGATAATTGGAAATTTAATAAGAGAACCTACCGTTGTCCTTTGTGCAATCATGTATACGATAACCTTGACTTTATAGGTATATTAATAATTTTTAACAATATAAAGATAAATTTTAAAATAATTTATTTTTATCATAAGGCTAACATATTAATTTTATATATTATTTATAGTTAATTATTTTCGTTAAAATAATATTATTACATTTGCAGAATTTTTGTGGTAAAATTCATTTATAATATCCAAACACAGATTACTAATTAATTTTATACGAAAGATATGCTTTTTGAATTGTCTTTTGTTATTTTTATAAATATGAACTCACAGCATTATGTCCATGACGTATTTAGGGAGGTATTGGTCGCGAATATTTTGTATGGCAGTTATCAAGGATGACACTGAAATATTATACTATATATATTATTAAGTTGAAAATCTTATTTATTATTATTTATTTTTCATAAAATAAATTTGAAATTTTATTATATAAAAACATACATTATTATGCGCATTTTAAGATTTAATTGATATGAGGTTATAACAGATTATAAGTTATATCCACTGGATAATACTAATTAAAGACGATGAAAATGTTTTAATTTTGAACGGTTTTATGATACTTTATGTCAAAATTACACTGACTGTGTATTAAAGTTTCGTGTATATTAAAAATATCATACTGGTGTATGTCAATTTTTGGATAATTTCCAACAGCTTATAACCTTAATAACATACATAGATCTTTGTACAAAAATTAGTTTTTGGGAAGTTTTATGATAGTTTATCAAAATATATATAAATCTTAGTTATATAAGTTCGTACAAATAGAATTAAACATAAAATGTATTTTTTTTTTTAGCTAATGAATTGTCTGCTTATTTGAGAAGTAAATAATAATTTGATTGATTTATATCCACGGGATGTTTATATATTATATTGTGTATAGAAATTACAAGTTAAATTTTAATCTCATGTGGTGTGATTAATAAATTAACTTAGTTGGATATTTTATTTCATTATAATAAAATTATACAAAATAAAATTATAATTAATAATTACTTTATAATTAATACAGAAAAAAAATTAATTTACAATGGGGTTTCATTGAATTAAATATGTCCAGCATTCAATAAAAATACACGATTTTTTTCATT